GTCTGAAACTGAAAAATTGAAGTGAGTTTTGGTGGCCATTATTTGTTTTTGGTTTCTTTTCAAACTATGAGGTTAGAATATTTAATTCATTTTAGTTTAGTGAGAAGACACTTCTTTGGGGATTTGGAAGTAAACACTGGGTATCAGCCATTATTTTAGAGCTCCAGCTCCTGATGCTATTTTGAAAAAGGGGTACAACTGTTTCCTCATGTGAGATGCAGATTCCATTTGTGTGAAAAAAGATGCTATTCAGTGTGGGGGCATGGTTCACTGCAGGTATTATCTTCCATGAAGAAGCAATCGTTCAGTTATCACCTTTGTGGAAAGCTACGGTGGCAGACAGAATCTCAAACAACCAGGTAAGCCCCAAATCCCAAACTGGAAGGAGACAGCAGGACATGATCACTCTGGCCGTTGTCCACTTCCCAGTGGGATCAGGTGAAAATGGGAGGACACCGCGGACGGGCAGACAGTTACTGGTCTAGGATTATGCACTTACCACGGACAAGCTAGGAAATGGGTCATATATGCAACCGAGAGACATTCTACAGAAATTCATCTTCCCTTTCTTACTCTGGAAAACCCTGCAAACCTTTGGCTGACACAAATGAAGCAAGCAATTATAGAACATATCCAGAGGAAACCTTCGGAATTTTGATTAGGGAAAATGGCCTAGATTCGGCAGGTATTTTTTTCTCATTTGCTTCTTGCTAAACTTTGCCACTAAGCTCTGATTTATCCTTGGTGCCTTCACTTAGGCATTCGATGTCAGTAATGTGGAGGCAGAGCCGGCCCATTAAGCAGTGTGTGTTCCAGTATAAGAATATCTACAGATGCCTAAACCTGTGCCTTTGCCCTTCCTCTACGTCAGCCACCCCCACTCCCCTGCTGAGGATTGGAATGGGAGTTGTTCAATTTGTTGTCTCGCTTGTGCACAATCCTCACACTTGTTTGACTTTTGTAGCTTAAGAGTTAGCCTCTGGACTTGAATTTGGCCATGACCTCCAGGAGAATTTAGTTATAAGAGGCCCAGGCTCACTGGGATTGCCAGAGTGAAAGGGACTCCCTCCAGAGCAATAACCACCAGCACCTGACTGGGCAAAAAGGGGTCTTAGCCAAACTATGCATTTTTAACAATCTCTTCTAAGCTCTTTAGAGAGCATCTATAGCCCTCGCTTCCTCTTATTATAGGGCAAAAGAGTTGTGGTAAGAAAGAAAAGCTGAGTCCATTGGCTCGAATCATTCAAAATGGCTAGATTCACCACTGGGGTCTCTTGGGTCTTTCATTTGTACCCATACCTCTTCATATGAACATTCAGTGGACTAATAGAATAGACTAATTTTGTCATTTTTCAGAGGGGACCTGATAGGCTGAGTTGAATACAAATAGCTAAGTGGTGAGCAATTCAATATTTTATCTATAGCTCAAACCATACAACTAAATAAATTCTGAATGGAATTGAAGAGTTCAATGTTTAAAAAATTACATGCTCAAAAAACTAGAATGAAATATTGGTATTTACATAATCTAGGTCTGTGACATGTTTCAGAAACTACAAAGGGAAAGATTTGCCCACATAAAACTTTACTTGTACGCATCAAAAAATGTAAAAAAAAAATATAAGGTAAAAAGATTAAGGGAGGAAAGAATTTGTATTTGCAACACATATGACAATGGATGATGTCTTTCTTACATAAAGAGCTCTTATAAATCAATGCAAAAATGACAGGCACTCAAGAGAAAGAAAAAGGGGGGGAAAAAAACTTCCATGAAAACTTGATGTTTTTTTATGGAGACCAAAGCTCCACAATTAACTTGCTATGCCATGCTCATGGCATCTTCTGGTTTAATATGTAGCAGGAAATAAATGAAACTTGTCCTCATTTCCCTGAGTGGGAAAAGACTTGTGTTACCTTGACCTTGGAAACCTATAACAACATAATTTCACAGAGAAGGCTGGTCTTGGATAGGAGTCATTAGTACATTACTGATCTCAAGAGTTTGGGCACTGGAACTAACCCCAGTGTCTTGTGATGTTATAATGCTCTCTGAGTCATGTACTAATCATCGCCAACAATTTTCAGGAGATCTGGGACCCAGGGCATGGGGCAGAAGACCAGTCAGTCACTGTGAGGGTTTGGGGCTGTCTTTCAAGAAGAAAGTGTCTTGCAATTAGCTTCCTTTATATTCACCACAAAGCCACTTGTCTCACAAGAAGCCCCACTGTCAACTAGCTGGTCTCAAGACTAAATTTGAGGTTCTTCACTAATACAGATGGCAGCCACTCCTTCCACATCCTCCTCCCATCCACTCTGGCTATCTACAGAGTTTACCATAGATTCCTTCAACTGTGTCAGTCACAGGAATCTTCACAGAAATAGCTGGAGGGGTAAGAACAGCAAAGGTTCATGCCTGGGTTCAAATCCCAGCTCCACCATGTAGTGGCTGTGCAAGGCTGGGCATGTTACAAAACCTGTTCGAGTCTCAGTTTACTCATCATGAAAAGGAATAATGGTGCACTAATTATTAAGTTGCTGTGAAGATTAAATGAATAACTCATGTTAAGTTTATAGTAGCTCAATAAATGGTAGCCATTATTTTTATTCATTTGTTTATTTGCCAGCTATTCACTGAACTCCGACAACGTGCCAGACACCGTACCAGGTGACGAGGATACATTGCTGCCCAGAACATGTTTCTGTCCTCATGGGGTGTGGGGGGTGGTCCCAGTCTAAAGCGAGTCCTATAGGGCGAGCAAATGCTATAAGCATGTAGGCAAGGATGCTCCATTCGCCTTGCCTTACTCAGGAACACATACAACCCCATCAGCCCCTCAGGTGCTTCCACACAGGGCCGAATGGAGTTAATAATTCAGTGGCTCATTGATTTTTCTGAACAAGCCTCATTTTCCTTTCTATCTGCAATGATCATCATAACTCTTGATTTCATGCAAATCATGATTTCTTTCTGATTTCTCCAACCTTGCTTTCTTTCAATATTTGACTCTTCCAGTGGAAGAGACCGAAATGTAGTCAATAGACCACCATAGCATAAGAAGCGCTCCTAATGAATAAGAGGGGGAAAGTGCCTGTGACTGATGCTGAATAGACCGTGACTC